AACATCTGAATGGGCCGCGTTACTTTCAATTTTTAGTAGAAGGCTTACAGCAAATTAAAAAATTATCACTATGATGTTAATAAAAAATGATTTTTGGCAAGTCATGCTCAGACCTCCTCGAGGTTCTTGCTGGGCAACAATAACAATTTAATATGTTGATTGCATAATTATAAAAAAATAATTTATAGCATTTTAAATTATTATTGGCCGACGTGAGCAAACTGTTTATTTATTGTCTTTATATGTGCGAAAATATATAAATATGGCAACATTGAATCTAGGTCGCTTTGTTCATATCGTAGCCGGCTGACGTCAGCCGGTCAGTAACAGCCTGAAAAGGGGGTTAAATAATGATTTGAAAAATTTTTTTTTCAGCTTAAGTATGCATTTAATTTTTTTTTAATCACGCCATCGTATTATACTCATTTTTCTCTATCTGCTTTTAAAATTAATGACATTATGACTTAATCACCCTGTATACAGCTGTTCAAGCATGCGTTGTATTCATTCCAATATTACATCAATATCAAAGCCAAATTCTCAAGGTGACATTCTCAAGCAATATTTAGCTGTAACATTTAACTGAACATATGACAAATGAATGTAATCACACGATGTAATATTTTTTCGTTTTTTACATACGAAACAAAAAATTATTATACTATCATGCAATAACAATAATATCATACACAACAATTAGATACATAGATATATTTAAATTTTTGTTTTGGCGCCAAAAGTAGGCGTGATATAAATATCGATCGTAGTCTGTTCAAGGTTATGCTATGCATGTAAATATTTGAATTTTATTTTAACCGCCGAAATAGGCGTGTTAATTTTATTGATCGTTTCGTTAGTTACTCATTCATCCGTTCAATAGATGGATGTGTATACGAGGGCAGCAGAATATTTTAGGAATTGTAATAGTTACTTATTTATGCATTATTATTTACAAACAAACACTTTGTAGAACTATATATTGACTATTATTTTAATATATATTTATTTCTTTTCTCTTTTTACATCCTGAGTTCTATAATGTTAATACATTATCACATTATTATATTTGTTTAGAACATTTTAAGTTTATTTCTTTTTTATTTGTGGAATGAGTGGATAGGGGCGTTTTGTTTCTAAAATTTGTTTATATTTATATCAAATCATATATTTCTTGGACTATACAAATAATATATACATTAAATTATATAAAAAAAATATTTACATCTTAAAATTAATCTTATATAAAATATTTATACATCTTAAAGCTATTCAACATTCACACGTCTCACTTTCATTCGTCCACTCAAAGTTTTTAAAGCCTTTCCACTTTCATCCCTCTTTCGCACTTTATTATTAATTTCGGTTTGTATTGTCCCAATCTCCTCCTGCAATACCCGTATCTGCTCCCGTTTAACTACGAGAGTTTCTCGCAGAACGCGGACTTCTTCATCAGTTTGTTCCTCCCTCCGACTGAGTTTTTCCCAGTATCTGAGGAATGCTGAAATGACATCCGCTTCGTCGGCCTGCGAGTACAGGATCGCTTCTTCTTCCACTTGGGTGGCCACCATTTCCTGGGGAACTTTCGGAGGTGGTGTTATGGAAACTTCTATGGATGCAACCACATCGTCAAACGTTGACATGATTTCCTGGGGTTCTGACCGGAGAATTGGCGGCTGTGGTGGTAGAGCTTCTGCTTGTGGTACCGTTACTTCAACTGCAGGTTGTTGCAGCAACTGCCGTAATCGTGATGTGCTACCCTTCGAAGCGATTCCTTTTTTCTGATTCTCCCCGCGGTTCGAAGACCCAACAGATTTTTTAGATGTTGCCATCTTCTTCACCGGTGGAGAGTTTGGTAATAAAAATTCACTGATTGGGGACAAATCCATGATTGTGTTGTCCCCCATGTTCGACAATGCCCTTGACAAAATTTCATCGGATGGAATTATTGCATCCATAGCACTATCAATCGTCGTGGTATAACAACCTTGGCTGACAAGCGGTTGTTGGAAATACTGAAGGAGCTGACGTTCCTCCGGCGTCACCTTTGGCATAGATTTGCCAACACTTGTACTCTTCCTTTTAGAACTTGTTGTGGCTTTTTTTGGTAATGTACTTGATCGACCCATTTTTTCTTTTTTAATTACATAAAATTTATACTATTGTATACGCTCACTACAGGGTTGGCACACAACGAAATGTAATTCTTCACTCTGATCTCCTTTCTTATATACCATACAAATCTAATTTCAAGGTTAACTGCAATGCAAGGTCAAATGAAAGTCACCAACCTACGTCACCTTCGGCTTTCAGCCTCAAGGTCACCCATACATTTTATTAAAAATAATATAAAATTACGTTATATATACAACAATATACATTTTTTTTTCCTGATAATTATGGATTTTCCAGTTATTCGACAATTTCTTCAAGTGCCCGAATTAAATTTTCATTCCAATATCACCACAATATCAAAGCCAAATTCTCAAGGTGACATTCTCAAGCAATATTTATCTCTAACATTTAACGGAATATATTTAAAATCAAGGTCAAATAACATGCTGTATGTATCATTCGCGCCAAATAAATTTAATTTCAAGGTTAACTGCAATGCAAAGGTCAAATGAAAATCACCACCCTACGCCACCATCTTTGGAAATTCATTTGCTATATTTAAAATTATTTTAACAATAACCCATAACTTGTACTTGTAACTTGATAATTTCTAATTCACAATGCGCAAATTTATTTTCTGGGATGCATGTGAGAAACATTTGAATTAAAATCTCCGTAAACAACGTTGTTGTTGTTGTAATTTTTGTATTTGTGTGTAGCCACTGCTGTGCAAAAACAAGAAAAACCACTACTAAATTATTACAACTACAGCACACAATTACTTTTCAACCTACGAAGGGAATGTAAAAATTTCCAAAAAGTATTGCATATAATATCAAAACCAAATTCTCAAGGTGAACATTTCTTGTGTGACACTTCGTTTTGTATTGTATATAAATAATAGCAGTTTAATAACAAAATTACTAATAATAATGGGAAATAAATCGAATGTTGTCCAAATGAATCTGTAAAACACGAACGGCAATGTCAAAAATTATCTTGTCTCGAAGCTTATGGCTTTCACCGCGCGTGACCAAATGTATTGATCGTTTCGCTTGAAGGTTTAATTACATAACATACCGCAATCAGCAGCGCCATAGTGGGCGTGACCAAATGTATTGATCGTTTCTTTAGTTCTTCTTTCATCCACCAAATAGATGACTATGTATACGAGGGCAGGCATACAAAGCTTTTTTTTACATCTCAAATTATATAAATTCGCTACAAACTTATGAACTTGGAGCTATTGTCACACTATAACGAAATATTTAAAAATAGCATTTAAATATGTCAACTGAAGGTCATCTCCTCATGTATCATTTCTTCCTATTTAACATTAGACAAATGTCATTTCAAGGTTAATTATGCTATTTATATATTTTTTTCTCCTCTCATTTAACAAATAAGACAACAATAAAAGTTAAAAAATATTTATATTTATATTGTTTATTCCACATTACAATAAAAGACAAATAGTTAAAACAATAAAATTTGTTAATATTATATATATAATATTATACCATTTTAAGATAATATATAAATTACATAAAAATTTAATGATATGTTATAATATATCATCTTCATTACCAGCATTATTTTCTTGAGCTGCTAATTTGTATTTTACAACCGTTGCATATGGTAGATAATCCAACAAAATAGAAATAACAAATTGTTTTAGTCCTATCTCAACCATTTTCACGCAAAAATTGTCCAAATTTATAGTTTCACTTAAATAATTACTACATAATGATGCACCACGGCGATGTTTTTCATAATCCTCCTCCAACTGTTTAATTTTTTCTTCAGAGAAGCAGTAATTCATGTCATAATTAGATGCGTGAAGACAATCTATTGCCACACAATCTAGCTCATTCATCAATCTCTTTACGGCTGACTGGAGGTCCTCAGCATCGGTCCAATTTTGACTAGCATAATGCATCCACATTTTCAATAGTTGTTCTATAAAAAAAAAAAAAAAAATGATATGAAAACGGGTATTATAGTAATAAGATTAAAAAATTATTTATTACCTATTGGAATTATAAAACATTAACAGAGAAGCCACCTTATATTATTATACTGACTAAATAGTGTAAATTACTTATATTGACTAGAATATACTCTATATATAAAACATATTTGTTACTACTAGATATATATATTTTTATTTAAATTAAATAAACAAAAATTAAATGACAATTCCAAATTTTAACAACGCTTTACATTTACCATCTTTAAATGCAGGCTCACTTTGACCTAAATAAGTTATCGTATATTGTTCCCAAGAGGAATTCATTTTATTCAAAATATCCTCTGTTATGTGTTCTGTAACCCTCTTTGGTAAAAAACACTTGAAATTTAAATTACACTTTTCATCAAACAATATAGCTAAAATGGACTTTCCAAAACGTGTATTGACAAAAGATAGTTTTTTTATCGGATATTGTGTATCAATTTCCAACGAGGAAACTGACCTTCGCATAATATCGTTGAATTCACCGTTAATATTACTATTTATTTTATTTAATTCATCAATTGATAATGCCATTTTTATATTATAATTCCCTGTAATATCTAGTCAGCAATAAATACAATAATTGTTCTCACTTCAAAATTTTTTGACACAAAATTTACACTATTGTAGACGCTCACTGCAGGGTTGGCACACAACGAAATGTAATTCTTCACTTTGATCTCCTCTCTTATATAGAAAATACACTGCAATTCAAATGCACCACGTCACAATGTATACACAACATTAAAACAACTATTTAATTTCAAGGTTAAATGCGTTGTTTAAACGTAAATCAAGCGAATGGCGTCACATAATGTGATATTTTTTCGTCTTTTGAACTAGCTCAAGGTCACCACACCCTCATAAAATATTTATCCACACCGATAGACATATTTCAAATTTAATTTCAAGGTTAACTGCAATGTTTAAAACCTAAGACAAATGAAGGTCATAAACAATCTTCCTTATTCACACCACACTACACAAATTTAATTTCAATGTTAACGGCAATGCCAAAGTTAAATGAAGGTCATCTTCTCATGTAAAATATCTCCTCTCTCACATACCATACAAATCTAATTTCAAGGTTAACTGCAATGCAAAGGTCAAATGAAAGTCACCAACTTACGTAATCTCCTTCGGCTTTCAGCCTCAAGGTCATCCATATATCATCGTCATCGCCCTCAAGGTCATCCCAAGCCAGAAAGTGGAGAGGGGAGGCTAAAACACCCTTCTTACATACAATTTAAATTTGTAATACAGTACCCTATAAAGTGCTCGAACATCAATCCATTTATTAAACATATCTGCTATTTTAATTCTCTTCCTCTTACATTCATTTGGAAGACAAACTCCTAAATCCCAGTCAGACCATGTGGCAAATACACATTTTTTATTTAGTGATTGAAATATATCAAAAGTCAGATTATAATGATTTATATATTCATTTAGCCATTGTTGGAACAGCATTAAGGCAGTATTTAACGGTACACCATTATCTACTTGATATTGTTTAATTCCTACAAAGATATACATATACATATCTGTTTATACATATACAGGGTGATTCACAACTTATCCAAAAAAAATTGGGAATAGATGTGGTATGAGAAATGGAGTCAATATTGTAAAATCCTGTTTCTGAGAAAAAAATTATTGAAGTTATAGCACATTAAACCACTACATAGCTGGACAACTGTAGTCTCTAGCGTCATTCGCAATACGCGTGGAGAGCCATGTGACTCCTAATACTGAAATCCGTCGTTGCGGTAGTTTTTACCTGTTATCTGTGGTATTTACATCAGTTTTTTAGTAGTTAGTGTCAAAAAT